AGACAAAATTACATATATAGAATGTTCGCACATGCGGAGAGGTATAGCCAACGTCCTCATCGGTGGAACTAGATCTTCGGTGACGGTAACACTATGAATATCGTAAGTAGGCTAGAAGGCCTTATGTTGCATGCACTGAGGGGAGGGGGTAACACACAACCCCAAAGATCTGCAATCAGGGGTGGCGGCAGAATGCCTATAGGCGCTGACAAATCCTATAGGAGAAGGAACAACGTAGGAAGATGTGGTTAATGTCTTCGGGGCCTTGATTGCACCTGGAACAGGAAGAGTTGCTGATGATGTGTTTGCGCAACAAATTTGCCTAGTAGGTCCATGGACCGAAGAGAAGCCACGCGAAGATCTTGACTTTGTTAGGAACCCAGAAGCCGACCAAGGTCTGTTATTGTTCACGTGTGTTTCTTTTTATTCCATCGGTAATAGTTTTTTCATAAAGCGTCTGCAAATAATTTGTTTATAACTGATAAATAATGTTAGAGCGTCTCAAAAAAGCAAGTTGCAAATACTTAGGACCAATTAGCACCAACTCCCGTCAAATTGACAGCGGAAATTGCAAAAAGTTTAACTGGCATCGTATGCTACTTGGTACCTATATTTTCTCTTAGACCCCTCAAAAAAAACATATATTTTCTCTTAGGAAAAAGAATAGGTAAACACGTAGTCCAACTGAAACAAGTTCGATCCGAGGATACGTGCGTGCACCGGAATACGGAATCATCAATCAACACGAAAACAAACCAGCAAAACAGAAACGCATCGACCTGTGCAGTCCTTTTCGATCGATCTTGTGTGCGTAATCGATCTGTTTCGCCGCGTGATGTTCCAAACAAACCCTCGCTGCCGCCGGCCGTCCGTGGAGGATGCATGTCCGGTCCTCCCCGACGAAGTCATCGAGGACATCTTCGCGCGGTTGCCGGCCAAGGCAGTGCATAGGTGCCGTTGCCTCTCTCGCGCATGGGCCGCCACGCTCGGCTCCAGCGACTTCGCCGACCTCCACCTTCGCCTCGCCAACCGCCACGGCGGCCCAAGGATCCTCTTCGTGGTCCGAAATTGCAGGTGTGGTCACCGGGCAACCATGGTCGTACGACTCTCATGGAGCTCCCCAAATCTCACGATGTTCATGGCCGCACCACGGACAACGTCCTCGCACGTCTCGTCACGCAGCAGTGCCACGGCCTCTTCATCCTCCAAGCCGCAAGAACGCACTACGTGCTCAATCCATCCACCGGCAGAATGGCAGGGCTCCGAGAGAGCGGGGCCAAGGGCGACCCCATCACACACCTAGGGTTAGGCTACAACACGCACACTAGGACGCACAAGGTTGTGTGCATCAGCTGCCTCCCAGAATCCGTGAGATACAGTGTTTATGAGATCAACTCCGTCCCGGCACTCTGGAGGCCAGCGAAGGGTTGTGCTCCTGAGAAACCACCCCTGGATTGGGTGGACAACCATTACGACATGAGCGTCTTTACGCAGGGGCACATGTATTGGCTTGACAGACGTAAGCTAACTTCCACTCAATCGGAAGAGATGTTCATCTTCTCCTTCAACCTTGACGATGAGGTGTTTGGGACCGTGCCGTTGCCGCTACCAATCGTTATTGAGAGAAAAGTTTCAAGACCAGTATAACTTGACCGAGCTCGGCGGCCGCCTGTGCATCTTCCATACTGAGATGTTTGGCCACGTGGCGACTGGTCAACACAATCTCTGGTTGCTGCGTGACCATGATACAGGCGTGTGGGATCTACATTGCCGAATCAATCGATACACGTTGCCAGCAAAGGTCGCCAACCTAATGCGCCCTGGGTGTACGTACTGGTTCAGCCTACTCACCATCATCGACAATGGCCGCCGTATCGTCATACGACCAAGCTACTACACATATGACCCAAGCTTCAGGATATGTGCATACGTTCCCGTGATCAACGACACGGGGAACCTTCTCGATGGAAGCAACGGCTTGGTCTCTGCTAATTGCATGACATTACAACACGCTGCCTTGTATGAGGAAAGTATCGCCTCCCCGGGGATGTACCAGTAATCTAAAAGTTTAGAGACAGAGTCTTGATTCTTTTGAAGTAAAATGCCGAGCTCTGGATCTGAGGAGCTAGAGGAGGTCCATGTATCACTTTCTCAATTGTGGCACCCATTTCAAAAATTGGACACGTATGAGAACTCAGCTTATAGGCCAACAATCCAGAGCTCAAAAGGATTATTACAGCTTCCCCGGTGTCCAATAGGGGGCAGAATGACCGCTCAATTGCGACAAATATGGCTGAAGGAAATTTGGTTTCAGGTGGACTAGCGATAATGACGATGATGATGATGTGTGATTTTCTCTGATTGCACCATTTCTTTATTTTTCTCATTTTTTAGTAATTTTGGGCGCATGTATTATCAATATTTTATCTAGCTTTTGATGTCATATTGGCGGAGATGGCGGATGCAGAGCATAATTGGTTTGGTGCCAAAAATATTGGCTACTACTTGATTTGTTACCGAATTGTCTTGCGCATCTCACACAAAGTTGCCAATTTGGCAAGTATTGGTATTGCCAACATTTGGCTAGCCAAATATTGACAGCCAACCAATCATGCTCGCAATTATCTCCTTAATATTATTTATATATACATAAAGGGTTAAAGTGGGATTATCAATTACAGTAGCACATATATATGACATCCCAACAACTCAGATTTCCTTCAAGCCCATGTTGTCAGTTACCACAGTTTATATGAACGGCCTTG